CAGGAGCCAGGTGCTTTTCCTGGTCTCCCATGGGGTGCAGGGCCCAAGCACCTGGGCCATCCTCCACTGCACTCCCTGGCCACAGCAGAGGGCTGGCCTGGAAGAGGGGCAACTGGGACAGAATCCGGCGCCCCGACTGGGACTAGAAACCGGTGTGCCGGCGCCGCTAGGCGGAGGATTAGCCTAGTGAGCCGCGGCGCCGGCCCAGAATTAGTCTTAAAAAAAAAATCACAGAATTGGTCTTAGGATTTCAAAGGCCCCTAGCACAAAGAAATGATAAATATTCAAGAAGATGGAAATTCTAATTACCTTGCTTTGATCACTACACAGTATATACATGTGTCAAATTATCATCTGTACCCTAAAAATGTACAATTAGAATGTAACAATTTTAAAAGTTTATCTTAACACATTAAAATCCTTAAAGTGAAACTTTAAAATAATTCCCATTAAGTGTCAAGAAAAATCAAATCATCCCTTATCTAAGCAGTGTGTGCAGCAGACAGATACCAGATATATTTAAAGAATAAGGAACAAGATTCTGGGTTTAGACTGAGAAAATCTGTGCTTAATTTTTTACTTTATCATTTTTTTAAAAAAAAGTTTTATGATTTATTTAAAAGGTAGAGTGACCAGGGGACACGGACACGGACACAGACACACACACACACACCTACACATACAGAGAGACAGTGAAAGGAGCCAAGAGCCACCATAAAAAAAAAAATGGGGCTCCTGAGACAAACCGTTCCAGAGACGGCCTTGGGAAATGGGGAGTAAACCGGTTCACAGAGAAAGCAGTCAGCTACTAACCAGAGATACACAGAACACCTGCCTTGTAGATAAGCCCCTTCCCTACGCTTGCTCAAGGTTAACAAAGAAACCGTGAGGCACGTAGGGCACGTAGCCATCCCTTTCTGCTCTTCAAGGACAACCTCCCCTTGTCCAAGCTTAGACACGTAGGGCACGTAGCCCCCGTTTCTCCTCCTCCTCGACGACCTCCTCCCATTGTAGTTACCCAATAAACTTATGCCACCCCATGGTATGTTAATTTTGTGGTTTTGCCCCTTAAAAGCTGTGTGAGATAGCTGCTTGGGGCTCCTCTCACTTGCTTGCTGCTTGCAGCAGTAGGGGGCCCATTTGCGCAAATGAAATAAAATTACCTCCTGCTCTATTGCATCGTCTGGTCTGGAGTCTGTGTTTCTGGGGTCGTCACAAGAGGACACCGCTTTTGGGGTCCTACAACAGAAAATGATCCTCTACATATTGCTTCACTTCCTGACTCCCATGATAGCCAAGGCTGAACCAAGACAAAGCCATTCGAGTGGCAGGAACCCAAGTACTTTGGCCATCATCTGTGACTTTCCCAGGTGCATTACCAGGAAGCTGGATTGGAAGTGGAGGTAGGCTTCTATCCCAGACAAGTGCCAAAGTGGGAGCTTATCTTCCATATACAATGCCCTTCCCATTGATTTCACCACATTTAGCTATGTGGTTCTGCGCAAGTCTTTTAACGTCCCAGCCTCATATTCCTCACCAATGGTGACATTAATAACCACTCTAGTCTACCTTAAAGGAACACTCACATTATGAAATGTTTTAATTTGAATATTCTTAAGAGATCTATAATCCTTCAGTACCATCATTAAGATTTTATTCAGGTACACAAACATTTTAGAAAAGCTGTTATGAAAACCTTAATGTTTCTTTCCTATAGACTAAAGAACAAACACAGTATGACACTGAATATGTAACCCTAATAAATGTCTTTGAATAGTAATAAAAAGATTACATGTGCACAGCAGGTATTTAATTCGCTATAATAACAGCCAGGATAACCTGAAGATGCTCCTCTGGACCTGTGTCTTCATTTGTTAATGATGAGGTATTTAATGATGTCAAAATTTCTTCTCATCACTGAGATTATTGTGTTACCCAGTAAAATTCATTTTCCTTATTTAAAAAAAAAATTGAAAATATAAAAAGCTCTAGTAAACTAGTCTCAACTGACAGCCAAGGCAGACATTTTTTAAAAACTCCAGAATCCCAGACACTGAGCCACCATCAAAGACTCAGCAGCACACCCCTGGAGTCCTCTTGCTTCTTGATGGTCTGTCCCTGCTGGCTGCTTTCTCCTGCTGTAGCCTGCCACAGGCTGTTTCCACCGAGGAAAAGGAACCATCTTGTATGTCCACTATCCAGAAACTCCACTCTTTCAACCCCTTTGGTGATGCAAGCAAGGATGGTGACCTGCTTCCTGCTGGCACTGAGGATTATAGCCATGGAAGAATTCAACAGAGAAATAGCAGGAAGACACTTCAAACTGTCACAGGACCACTGTGGATCATGACACAAAAGAAACTAGTGAAGCCATGTAAGACGCTGCAATAGTATTGTGAGCATCCACAACAAAATACTTGTCAACAATCCTCAACAAAATACTTGTCAACTGAATCCAACACATTAGAATGATCATTCACTCAGACCAAGTGGGATTTATCCCTGTTATGCAGAGTTGGTTCAACATTCACAAATCAGTAAATGTGATACATCATGTGAACAAACTGAAGGACATAAAACCATACAGTGATCTCATTAGATGAAGAGAAAGCATTTAATAAAATACAACATCCTTTCACAATGAAAATGTTAAGCTAATTGAGAATAGAAGGAACAATCCCTAACACAATCAAGGCAATTTATGACAAACTCATGGCCAGCATCCTATCGAATGGGGAAAAGCTGGAAGCATTCCCTCTAAGATCCAGAACCGGACAAGGATGTCTACTCTCATCATTACTATTTAATCTAGTTCTGGTAGTTTTAGCCAGAGCCATTAGGCAAGAAAAGGAAATCAAAGAAATACAAATTGGAATGGAGGAAATCAAACTATCCCTATAGGCAGATGATGTGATTGCATATATAGGGGATCCAAAAGACTCCACTGAGAGATTGGAACTCATAAAAGAGTTTGGTAAAGTGGCAAGACATGAAATCAACACAGAAAATCAACAAAGAAAAATCAATAGGCTTTGTATACACGGACAATATCATGGCTGAGAAAGATTTTTTAAGATCAGCTGCATTCACAATAGTTCTAAAAAGAATTAAATACCTTGGAATAAATTTAACCAAGGATGCCTAAGATCTCTATGATGAAAATTACAAAACACTAAAGAAAGAAAGAAAATAAGGTATTAAAATATGAAAAAATCTTCCATGTACATGATTGGAAGAATCAACATCATTAAAATGTCCATACAACCAAAAGCAATTTACAGATTCAGTGTGATCCCAATCAAAATACCAATGACATTCTTCTCAGATCTAGAAAAAATGATGCTGAAATTCATATGGAAACACAAGAGACCCCTAATAGATACAGGAATCTTATACAACAAAAAGTTGGAAGAATCATAATACCTGATTTCAAGACATACTACAGGGCAATTATAATCAAAACAGCCTGGTACTGGCACAAAAATAGACTTGTAAACCAGTGGAACATAATAGAAACTCCAGAAATCAATCCATCATCTACAACCAACTTATTTTTGACAAAGGAACTAAAATCAATCCCCGGAGCAAGGACAGTCTCTTTAACAAATGGTGCTGGGGAAACTGGATCTCTATGTGCAGAAGTATGAAACTAGAACCATACCTTACACCTTACACAAAAATCTACTCAAAATATATCACAGACCTAAATATATAACCCTATACCATCAAATCAGTATAGAACATTGGGGAAACTCTGCAAGTCATCGGCACCAGGCAAACTTCTTAGAAAAGACTTCAGAAGCACAGGGGATCAAAGCTAATATAGAGAAATGGGATCACATTGAGCTGAGAAGCTTCTGAACTGCAAAAGAAACACTCAGCAAAGTGAACAGGCAACCCATAGAATGGGAGAAAATATTTTCAAACTATGCAACTGATAAAGGGTTAACATCCAGATTCTATAAAGAATTCAAGAAGCTCAACAACAAAACAAACAAGCAAGTTAAGAAAAATACAAAGGACTTGAACAGGTATTTTTTTGAGAGAGAAAATTCAAATGGCTAATAGACACTTGAGAAAATGTTCAAGATTACTAGCCATCAGGGAAACGCAAATCAAAACCATGGTGAGGACTCACCTCACTCCAGTATGAATGACTCTCATGCAGAAATCAACAAACAACAAGTTCTGGTGAGGATGTGGGGGAAAAGGTACTCTAGTCCACAGTTGGTGGGAATGCAAACTGGTGTAGTCAATATGGAAGACAGTATGGAGATAACTCAGAAATCTGAATATTGACCTACCGTATGATCCAGCCATACCACTACTGAGAGTTTACCCAAACCAAAAGAAATCAGCATATGAAAGAATTAGTTGTACCCCATGTTCATTGCAGCACAATTCTTAATAGCTAAGATATGTAATCAACCCAGATGTCCATCAAAAGTTGACTAGATAAGGAAATTATGGATGCAATAGGAAACTATCATACTTAGTGAAATAAGCCAGTCCCCAAAAGACAGATAGCATGTTTTCCTCATCCAAGAAAACTAATAAAGTACCTGAAATGTAATGTATTGAAGTGAAATAGACATTTTAATATTTGATGATTGTTTATGGTCCTTTTGTCTTCATAGATGAGCAGTTTTTTTTTTCTCTTCATCCTATCTGTTGAACTCTCTTACTTAGTGTAAGGTTAACTATAAAATCATTAAGTGAACTGAAAATAGATCTTTGTAAAAATTAAGAGCAGGAATGTGAGAGCGAGGAGGAAGAAAGTTGGAGCATGGGTGGAAGACAGGGTAAGGGGAAAGTGTCATTATGTTCCTAAATCTGTATATATGAAATACATGAAACTTGTATAACTTAAATAAAATTTTTAAAAAAAAGAAAAATAGGATTGATTATAGCCCACAAAAACAATAAGAAAAGTAAAAAATACATTAAAGTTTTAACAGATCAGAAATAAATTTAACTTCAAGAAAAAATAATCAAGTTACCTGCCTTCCCTTAAGACCTTTCTTTCCACGGATTCCGGGACTACCCTAGAATACAAGAAAAGTCAAATGTAAGTATCTGTTGAATGAATCAGTTAAATACTACAGAGTATTTTCCTAAAATATCAATTAAGGCAGCATGCCAAAAAAAGAAATAATTTGTTGTACAACTGGTATGATGCTCAGAAAAACTTCACTATATACTGTCGCTCCCCCTCTTCGTGGAGGAACGACACAGGACCCTGCGCTGGAGGCAGCTGTGTAGAAGCTGTTTCCTCCTCTCCCAGGGCCATATTGTGGGAGAGCAGATGCATAGAATAAGTCTTAATTCCAGTAACAGTCTAGTCCGAGTTGCTCCCCACAATATACATATTAATTCACAGTGGCAGGTTTCCTTCCTCAAGACAGAAATACTCAGGAATCCACCCTATGTGCACTTACACATGAGACCCTGATATTGCCCTGCTGATGGCTCTCTGTCCAGAAGGAAGCACACCACCAAAGTAGGTACAATCAAACAAACAGTAAGGCTTTCTCCATACTCCACACACAGTGTCTTCTCTATCCTCTCCCACTCTGAATTTAAACAAAGACAATTAATACTAGCAATGGCAACCTTGCAATCTTAAGGGTAATCAGTATTAAGGCAAAACCAACAGTGGGAAAGGCAAGGTACAAGGATGATGATTTTCATTGCTGAAGATAGTCTTCAGCCTTGAATATTTGGAAAAAGAAGTAGGGTATAGTACCTCAGAGCCAGAATATCCTGTATTCAAATCCTAGCTCTCTTCCTACTACCTGTAGATAGTGTAAGACAGGTTACTTTCTCTACGTGTGTCTCATTTTCATCTACAATGATAATAGTAGTAGTATTTATCTCACTTGTGTTAGTGGGCACTAAAGGAGTTAACTCACATGAAGAATTTACACAGGATCTTGAATATATATAACCACTCAGTAAATACTATGCTGTTACCACCATTATTTAAAAATTCCTTATTTTTAGTCAGTTTGAGTTGGGAGCTGTTACTTCACGTCTAAAGTATCCTACCTGATACTGGGACTTGTAACAACTTAAATCCTTAAAAAATCATTTTGGGACTTATAACCACTTAAAGCCTTAGAGAATAAAAAAAAAAAATCTGTCAGACAGTGCAGCTTGGGATGGATACTGCATTCAGATAAGTTAGACGATATCACTGAGTGAAGTAACCATTCACTTTCAAGTCAACAGTGGTTGATAAATACTCATGTTTCTGATTATCAAAAATGTCTTCATAGATGAGCAAGAGGACTCATTTCAATCAGAATTTATGTATCTTTACAAAAATATAGCCAAACTTTCTTAAAAAAAACAGTAATTATTTCCTAAAACTGTAATAGGTTCCATAAACCAAAGCAGTAAAATTAAGAATGCAGAGAGAATTATATAAGCATTCCATACACATACACATATTACATACAAACACACAAAACATGTATATATGTGTACAATACTGAGTTCAAGAAAAAATATTTTCTATTAGTTTTCAGGGGAGCTTAGCATTATATTTTTTCTTCTACTTCTTTGTTGCTTTATAACATTATCTATATCACTCATGGTTATAATGAAATTTTGTATATGGTCATACATTAGGACATGGTACCCATAAGGGGCACAATATCATGAACTGGTCTTATCCATACATATTTATTGAAACAGATCTTATACATATTTATTGAAACTGGTCTTATATATATATATTTATTGAAACTGGTCAAAATTAGTGAGGGTGATTATACCACTGTGCCCATTGATGATTAGTGCAACACTGGCTTAAGATCCTTAAATCCAAGATGATTACATTTTGCAAAGAGATACACATAATTTGGCTTATCTGTTAAATAATTCACTAGAAATAATATTATGCCAAAAGGTCAGAAAAGGATTCAATTATGAGAAGAAAAGTAATTTTAGTGTAAAGTGGATATACTCCTTTGGGTCAAAAAGAAGCAGTTTTATTACTGACCTAATGGATTGGATATGTCTTCTATTAGTTGACAGAATTACATGAAGGTTGAGTGGCTTGGTGTGGTATTATGCTGAAAATTGGACTTTTTGGTTGTTATTAAATTGTACCCAAATTCTTTGAGTATTTTTCCTCTTCAGGAGCATTCAAAAGTAATTACAAGAAAGTGCCACTTAACTGTTCACACAAAATACTATATATTTGAAAAATTCATTAAGCATAGAATACTCTGGTTGATTTTCATTTATAACACCACTTCAAAGAAATGAAAATTTTGACCTGAACTGCATCCTTATACTGAGAATTTAAAGCTAAATTCTAAGTATGATTTGCTAATTTCAAACTTCATGACAATGAACTAATATCATTCATTTCAGCTATTTTCAATTAATACAGTGTCAATGAAAGAATACAAATGAAATCACTGGACAGCATATGTAGCAATAAAACCTAGAAATGGTGGTGCAGTGCAGAACTCAATAAATATCTTGATAATCATTTTAAGTGTAAGAAGCCATTCTGCAAAGATTTTATCTTTATTCTTAAGTACCTACATTTATGAGTAGCTATTTCCTATTAAGTTACACAAAAATATATCACCTGAGGCTAAATTATTTACTGCACATTACACTGCAACATATAAGACCTGTTAAGAAATTTATAGTCAAATTAAAAATTAATGAATATTAAAGTTCTATAATTATATATTTTAATATTTAATGTATATCTTGTAAAATTTGAATTGAAAATCAATATAATTTTCATTACACATTTCTTCTTTATAGTAAAATTCAGTTTCCAGATTAAAGAAAAACTAATGATATCTCTGGCAGGTGATTTTTCTTTCGTTTTTTTTAAATAAAGATTTGTTGGGGCCAGCGCTGTGGCTTAGCGGGTAAAGCCGCTGCCTGCAGTGCTAGCATCCCATATGGGCACCGGTTGCTGTCCCGGCTGTTCCACTTCTGATTCAGCTTTCTGCTATGGCCTGGGAAAGCAGAAGAAGATGGCCCAAGTCATTGGGCCCCTGTACCCACGTGGGAGTTCTGGAAGAAGCTCCTAGCTCTTGGCTTTGGATCAGCACAGCTCTGGCTGTTGCAGCCAATTGGGGAGTGAACCAGTGGATGGAAGACCTTTCTTTCTCTCTCTGCCTCTCCTTCTCTCTCTGTGTAACTCCGACTTTCAAGTAAAATAAAATAAATCTTTAAAAAAAAAACAAAGATTTGTTCACTTATTTTGAAAGTCAGAGTTACGTAGGGTTGGTGGGAGGAAGAAACAGAGAGGGACAGAAAGAGACCTTCCATCCTCTGGTTCATTCCCCAGATGGCTGCAACAGCCAGGGCTGGGCCAGGCTGAAGCCAGGAGTCAGGAGCTTCTTCCGGATCTCCCACTCAGGTGGCAAGACCCCAAGCACTTGGGCCATCCTCTACTGCTTTCCCCAGCCCATTAGCAGAGAGTGGGATTGGAAGTGGATCAGCAAGGACACAAACTGGGAGCCCAAATGGGATGCCAGCATCACAGGTGGTAGCATTACCTGCTATGCCCCAACACCAGTAATTTGCTTAAACCTGGCTTGCTCACACAGTAGGAGAACCTCACTGACATCCGAGTTCATGACTCCTGTTATCCATTATCACATGCATTACTTTAGAAATAACACTTGAAGGAAATGGACTTACCCTTTCTCCTTCAGGTCCCAGTGGTCCTGCTTCTCCAGGAGATCCAATATAACCCTTAAAGAGAGCAATCTTTATATTATTTCACTTAGTAATTCAAATAGAAGTTTTTAGCATTTTATTTATAGTAACATGAAATTATAGGACTTAAATGTATGTTCCATGGGGCCAGTGTTGTGCGACACCTGCATCCCACATGGGCTCCAGTTTGTGACCAAGCTGCCCACTTTCACTCCAGCTCCTGTTAATGGGCTGGGGAAAAGCAGTGGAAGATGGCCAAATATTTGGGCTCCTGCCACACATGGGGAAGACCTGGATGAAGCTTCTGGCTCCCAGTTTTCACCTGGCTCAGCCCTGGCCATTGTGGCCATCTGGGGAAAAACCAGCAAATGGATGCTCGCTCTGTCTCTCCCTCACTCTCTCTGTAATTCTGACTTTCAAATAAATAATTTTTTTAAAAAAAAGTATGTTTCAGAGCCATATATCAATCTTTTACTTTAAAAAATGTATGGAATATAACTTAAAGCAAATTCTTCCCTTCACTGAATACCACAATGGGCAGAAAATATGTGCTTAGGGGCCAGCGTTATAGTGCAGTGGGTTAGGCTGCCACCTGTGACATCGGCATTCACACATCAGAGCACCAGTTCAAGTCCTGGCTGCTCTGCTTCCCATCCACCTCCTGCTAATGTGCCTGGGAAAGCAGTGGAAGATGGCCCAAGTATCTGGACTCCTGCCATCCATGTGAGAAGTCCTGATGGGAGTTCCTGGCTCCTGGTTTTGGCCTGCCCTGCTCCCCACCATTGTGGCCAATAGGGGAATGTACGAGTGGATATAAGAGTTCTTTCTCTCTGTGTCTCTTCCTGTGACTCTGCCTTTAAAACAAATAAAAACAAATCTTAAAGGAACAGAAAGGACATGTCTAAAATTAATTAAAATGTGGCCCAGAAAGGAGGTATCAAAGACTGTAAGAAGAACAGAGGGCCAAGAATTGCATTCCAACGTGACAGGAGGTAAAGGCATTCAAAGAAAGTTTCAAAGCAAACTGGAGCTTGAGATGGGTCTAGAAACTAGGTCAAAGCTTGATAACCAGAAGCTGGAGATAGGCCACTCCATTAGGATAGTTAGAGGTGACTAACAGGGTGAGTTTGTAAATGATATTTGCACTGTATGTGTAAAATGCTTTGGAGGAGACCAAAGACCCATCCTGCCCTCTTAAGATTCCGAGGTGGTATTCAGAGATAAGAGATATACATAAATTATGCAGTGTACTTTGCCCTAACACCCTTTAGTTTTATCTCACTTATATAAAATAACTTATTTCATTAACTTTATAGATAAAATTAATTATAGTTTTGGGGCTAAATTAGGGAGAACCTTAAATTTCAGATTAAGAATTTTAGACTTTATATTCTAGACAAAAGAGAATACTGACTTTAAAGCAGTATGCTCGTATTCTGATGTTAAGTTGAATTTCTAAAATTAATCTGTTGGTAGAAGACAGAGTATATCTGAGACAAGAAACATTGAATGTAGGAAAATCTTTTGCAAGGCTCTTTCAATGGTCTAAATTTGAAGGATTATGGCTCTGGATTCTTGATTTAACAAACATCATTTAAGTGTCCACTATGTGTATAACAGGGTTCATAAAGATGAATATGAAAATCAGAAGTGTGCAATTTATCCAGAAAAAGGGTCATAAAAACAGAAATTGCAGGGGGTGGGTTTTCAACACAGTGGGTAAGACACCACATAGGATGACTATGCCCCATATTAGCATGCCTAGGTTTGAGTCCTTGCTCTTCATCAAATTCCAGCTTCTTGCTAATGGATAAATGTGAAAATAAATGTGAAGATAGTGTATTCTTTTAGGCTAAATTTGCACAAAATTCAAAGTTCCTAATAAAATATAAAAATGATCAATATTTTGTTAAATTTCATTTTACTTTTACAAAAGCATACATACCACAATGATGAAAATGCTTACTTACTCGTACACCTTTTGGACCTGGATTACCTTCTGGTCCAGCTAAACCCTATTGTAAACAAAAAAACACTGTCATCTTATTATCATACTTTTTTGGGTAATGTTAATAAAATAGATAAATAAAAGGGTATATAAAAATATATCATTTTCAAAACTATAAAAGTAAGAACTCTACATACCTCATAAAGATTACAAATGTTCAAGGAATTTTAGAATCTCAGAACTAAAAGAAGTATTGGATATATCTATACAGAAATATTTTGGACAGCTAAATATATATTACATTAACATGTACTGTTGTATACAAGAGTTTTCTCACAAATTATTTCTCTTTGGAAATTATTTGTGCTGCTTTAAAACACTTCTAATTAAAGATATGTTCATAAATTATTTTTCTAAAGATTTATTTATTTATTTGAAAGGTGGAGTTACAGAGGGGGAAAGGCAGAAGCAGAGGCAGAGAAAGCCTTCCATCCACTGGTTCACTCTCCAAATGGCCACATCAGCAAGAGCTGGGACAGGCCAAAGCCAGGAGCCAGAAGCTCCATCTAGGTTTCCCACATGGGTGCAGGGGCCCAAATACTTGGGCCGCCTTCTGCTGCTTTCCCAGGCATATTAGCAGGGAGCTAAATTGGAAGTGGAACAGCTAGGACATGGACCAATGCCCATATGGAATGCTGGCACTGTAGACAGCGGCATAACCTGCTTTGCCACAGCACTGGCCCCTGTTCATAAACTTTTAAAGATGAATATATTTTAAACCTCAGTTTCATCAGTATAAGTATTCATATTTTATATTTTCAGTTAAGATACATCATCACCTTATGGTAAGAGGATAAGATACAATACCTCTAGGTATTTTTAAAGGCCTAAAAATGGAATTTTGTTAACAACAGATTCTTTTTGGCCTTTTTATGCATCTTCATTAATGAAAACATAAGAGATACTATAACATAAGTTATAATGAAAACATAAGAGATATTATAAAATTATCATTTTATATATGTAATAAATTAAATTTTAGATGTAATCAATTCATGGAAACCTGGGGAGAAACTTGCTGTATTATCATTCTATATAAAATAAAGTTAAAAAGTAGAGGGAGTAACATATGGAATTATTAAAATGAATTTTCAAAGCTGTATACCAAGAACTGAATTCAGTTCATATAACACTATTTGGTAGGTAGGTACTGGTATATGTAGCACTGCCAACTGTTCCCAAGATTTTATAACTGTGTTATAAAGGATGATGCTTATTACAGAGCATCTTAACTCTTACTAATACTTTACATTGGTCATTGTAAATCAGCATCAGGGTTGTTTAAGATCTTATTGGGGCTGGCACTTTGGCATAGCAGGTTAGGCCACCGCCTGCAGTGCTGGCATCCCGTATGGGCACCGGTTTGAGTCCTGGCTGCTCTACTTCCAATCCAGCTCTCTGTTATGGCCTGGGAAAGCAGTGAAAGACAGCCCAAGTCCTTGGGCCCCTGCACCCGCGTGGGAGACTCAGAAGAAGCTCCTGATTCCTGGCTTTGGATCGGCACAGCCATGGCCATTACAGCCAACTGGGGAGTGAACCAGTGGATGGAAGACCTCCCTCTTTCCTTCTCTCTCTCTCTCTCTCTCTCTCTCTCTGCCTCTCTTTGCCTCTCCTTCTCTGTGTACCTCTGACTTTCAAATAAATAAATAAATCTTTAAAAAGTCTTATTAGATCTTTAGCAATATTAATACTGTTTTAATTTTATTGATGTCTCTTAAAAACCATCCACTTCACTCCAGCTCCTGGCTTCTAATCCAGCTCAGCTGGCTCAGTCCCAAAATGCCCACAATGGGCAGCTCTTCTGCATGGGTGGCAGAACCAAATTACTTGAGCCATCAACAATTTTCCATTTTGGTCTAGCCCAGCCCTAACTGCTGTAGCCATTTTGGGAGAAAATCAGCCAATAGAAGCTCTTTCTCTCTGATGCTCTGACTTTCAAATAAATAAACACATAAAAGTAAACCAACAGTCACTTTAATATTAACTCTCAAAATAAGAAACACAAAGTATTCATGAAGAGGAACATATAAGGGGAAGTGTGAATATAGTTACTGCACCTGCCTGCCAGGGTAACCAGGTGAACCAATATTACCAGCGAGTCCTGGGATTCCCTGAAATTAAAATTAACAACTCAGTACAGAAAAGGTAAAGAAAATCCAAAGAAATATATTTGGTGCATTTATATATCCAAATTTGGGAAGAACTTTGACTCCATGAAAATACTGAGTCCTCCATATATTTTATCCACATGAAATCACCTATTTGAAGGAAAATGGGCCAAAATTGATAAATAAAAAGAAATAAAATTATTAGATTATGCAGGGCCCTAATTGAGACACTAATCATTAATAATGACAAATCTGGGTTGGAAAAATCAAAGGATATACAACCAATGACAACATTCAATATAGAAGAAAAGCCAGTACATTTCTTAATCATCTTTTAACAATTTCTTACTTATTCTTAATAATTTCTTAATATCATTTTGGATTGAATTTCTTCTTTTCTCAATTATTCTACTCATTACATGTCTGAGCATAAGCCTCAGAAGGCTAAGAGAGATAGTAAAGTTTAAAATCAATCTCATATTCCTTTCCAAAATAAACCTAACCTTCCAGCATTTCTGATTTGGTAAATGACTATGAAGTGACAAACACCTTTACCATGGCAAAAGTCTATATGAAAATTCACACAGTGAATATGGAGGGTGCTATGGAGTGAATGTTTTGTATCTCCTAAATTCACCTAATGCTAACAATAATGGCATTAGGAGGTGGGGCTTCTGGGAGGTAATCAGGTCATGTGGTTGGCTTGCCCAAGAAAGGGTTTAATGAGCTCATAAAGAGAGACCAGAAAGCCAGTTAGCTCTCTTCCCCATGTGAGGACACAAGCCATCAGCAGTGTATAACTCAGAAGAGACATTTACCATAATCCAACTGTGGTGGCATGCTGGATTCAGACTTTCCATCTCCAGAATTGTAAAGAATAAATTTCTGTTGCTTAGTACGGTGTTCTTTTATAGCAGCTCAAACTGACATTTTTCATGGATGGTAAATTCATTTGGAATTGACAAATCTGTATTCTTGATTAAAACAAGGTTTGTTCAAGGAAAGTTGATATAGAGAATTGGTATCTTCCAATTTCTTCATGTAGGCACTGATTTCTATAAACTTCCCTCGTAACACTGCTCTCCCATGAGTTTTGATATGATGTACTGTCATCTTCCCTTATTTCCAGAAACTTTTTGATTTTTTCTATGACCCACTGTTCATTCAGGAGCATGTTATTCAGTCTCCATGTGTTTGCATATGTGTTGTAGAGATTCCTGAGTTGTTAATTTCCAGCTTTATTCCATTATGGTCTGAGAAGATGCCTGGTATGACTTTGATTTTTTTGAATTTGCTGAGACTTGCTTTATAGCCTACAATATGGTCTATCCTAGAGAAAGTTCCATGCATTGATGATAAGAATGTGTATTCTGCAACTGTGGAGTGAAAAGTCCTGTAGATATCAGTTAGGTCCATTTGGTCCATAGTGTCGATTAGTTCTGTTGTTTGTTAATTCTCTGTCTAGTTAATCTGTCCATTAATGAAAGCGGGGTTTTGAAATCCCCTGTTACTATTGCATTAGAGTCTATGTCTCCCTTTAGATCCATTAACATTTCTTTTAAATAGCCCACCACCCTGTACTTGAGTACCTATACATTTATTACAGTCATATCTTCCTGTTAAATTGATCCCTTAATCATTACATAGTGCCCTTCTTCACTTCTTTTAACAGTTTTGATGTTAAAGTCTATTTTGTCTGATATTAGGATGGCAACACAGCTCCTTTTTGGTTTCTGTTAGCATGGAATATCTATTTCCATTCTTTCATTTTCAGTCTGCATTTACCTTTGTTGATGAAATGTGTTTCTTGTATGCAGCAAATAGATGGTTTGGCCCTGCCATTTTTCCATAAATATTTCTTCTGCTTATTTCGGATTTCTTTTGTACTTTTAGTGGGGATTTTCTGCCTTCACAGTCCATTTTTTCATAATGATGGCTATATTTCTGTGTACAGCACAGAAGCACCTTTTGTAAGGGTGGGCAAGTGGCAACACTTTCGATTTCTGTTTGTTATGGAAGGTCTTTATTTCACCTTCACTCATATAAATGAGAGCTTTGCAGAGTACACTATTCTGGGTTTACGGTTTTTTTACTTTTAAGGACTTTTACTATATCTTGCCATTCTCTTCTAGCCTATAAGTTTTCTGATGAGAAGCTACCTGTGAGTCTAGTTGGAAATCCTCTGAAAGTAACTGGGCATTCCTCTTATGCATGTTTTAGAATCTTTTCTTTATATTTTACTGTGGGAATTTTGACTACACTGTGTCATGCTGAAGATCTTTTCTAGCAGTCTGTTAGGAGATGTATGTGCTTCCTCTACTTGGATATCCTTTTCTTTTTCCAAATTGGAGACGTTTTCTGTAATCACTTCAATAAAAAGGCCTACTAGTCCATTTTCTCTTTCTACATCTTCAGGAACTCCTAAGACCCATATGTTGGGTCATGTGATAGAATCCTATAAGCCTCCAACACTGCTTTCTAATTTCTTCTTCTTCTTTTTTTTTTTTTTGGTCTGACTGTAAGATTTCCAAAGATTAGTTTTCTCTTTCAGATACTCTTTTTCTGCCTCGCCAAGTCTGCTCTTAAGAAATTCCACCACATTTTTATTTGATTATTGAATTCTTTATTTCTAACATTTCATTCTGATTTCTCCTTAAGATCTCAGTTACATAGGGAAAATTTTCATTCATGTCATGTATGGTTGTCTTCAGTTTGTGGATTTGCTTCTGGTTGCTACAATTAATTTTTTTAATTCCATTTCTGGCATTTCCTCAATCTCTTCATCTTTACTTTCAAATATGGAAATGCTGTTGTGTTCCTTTGTGTGGGGTTTCATGGTGGCTTCCTTATTCTTGTTTGTTGCATTTCTGCATTTACTTTTAGGCATTTGTGGAGTTGATTTTTCCTCTGATGTCTTTTAACTTTGAATTTTCCTCTGATGGCTTTTAATTGTGGCTTTGTGGAATGCTTGCACTTTCACTGAATACCAAGAGGTTTGTGGTGGCTATGGCCAGGGATTTCTGGTCATTACTCCAGGGTAGGGAGAGTATTCAGGGTAACATTCATGTTAGGCATGTTAGATCTCCTCTCATTAACTGAAGGTGGGGGGGAATGGGAATGGTCACCTCTGTTGGTGTGATCTGTTGGTGTGATCACCCCCTCACCTCCAAGCTGATCAATGACCCGGTGTTAGCCACCAGTTTATTCAACACTCATCTGTGCCACCATATGAATCACACAAATGATCTGCTTAGTCCTTACTATAAGCACAGTTCCCACTGCAATGACCTGCTTTAGGCAACTAAGGGAGTGTGTGGAGCCACACCCAATGTCAATCTCCTCTTCTGTTGCTTGACCCAATAATTATCATTTACTGGGAACTTTTTTATATGCTGAGTACTTTATTTCTGCCTTATATCTGCAATAAAGATATATTTTTGCCATTCTATCTATGAAAAAACTAAAAAAATTGAGACATTATGACATTGGGCAATTTAACATAATTTGAATAATTTGTGATCATCTGAGGATTACAGAATAAAGAAATCTTGGCCACATTTGCAGAGATTATATTCTATGATTTTCAGAAACCATGTTTGTATTTTACATATTACCTTATCAGTATATATTGTATACCTATAGCATTTACTGAGCACATACCATGTACTAGGTACCACTCACATGTCAGCTATTTTGTATATAATATCTTATTCAATTTGCTCAAATATTCTACAATGTACTTTTCATTATACTTATTCTACAGATGAGAAAAACTGAGACAAAAATGTTGAAGTCTTCAGATAAAGGCTACTAAGCTAGTAAGTTAAGAAGCCATGATTTAAATCAGCAAGTCTAATTCCAGAGACTGCCACTCAAGGCTGCCTTCCTAGTGTGGATAAGAAGTACAAATTACTTCCAATAACATACCGTGAAAAGCCTTCTAATTATGAGATTTGCTCCAGTATATTTACAACTACCTTCCTTTATGCCCTTTACAGTTCCAAAATATGGAGCCTTGCATCTAGTCTCAAAACCATATAACTGAGTATGTCAATAGAAAGGAGTGAAACAAATTCAAAAGGCTAATTTTATTCTGTAGATCATTATCCAATGCCAAAACCATCCCTGTCTCATTCTTTTCCTAGCCAAATAAGATGAACTGATCTTATAAAGAAGCAAATTGGTTTTAGGACATAAATGAAATCTGATTTTGAATGGACTTTCAGAGGGTGTAAAAACAACAGAGATCTAACACATTCCAGCTGCACAAAGAAAGACACCAAAGAATTCCACTGGACGTCTAAGCTCTCTCATGCTAGAATAGCAGTAAACGAAGTAAACAAAAAAGCCTTCTGCATGGTCTTTATATAAACATAGTCTGAGACAACCACACCCTAAAATAATTGCCAACAACCACAGAATCTCAAAGGAAACTCCAAACACCATCACTCAATTCATTCTGCACTAAAAAGAAAAGAAAGAAAAGAAAAAAGTTGGCTCCCTCAAAGGTGTAGATTGGACAGAGGAATGGAGATACAGTTCTATTACCAGTCCCTTGAGAAATTAGGAACAGGAAATTAGGAAGCCTGCCTCAACCTCACTTCTTACTCTAAGCATTAAACTACTGGCTGTGAGTCACAGACTTCATTCAGAATCTCAATCCTGCTACTCTGGATCCTGTCCCTTCTGTGTTTCTCACAGAAACAAAGAATTAAAAATTAATAATACCTAGGTCTCAGGATTATTGTTGGGCAAACACAAAATGATGTGTAGGAATGTGTTTAAGTACACTTTAGTGTTGCTAAGCATTATATTTGTAATATATATGAAATACTGAGGAAATAGTAATACTACTATAAGTTGAAGCTATATAACTACAGTCTGGCAAATAATAAGGGCTTAATAAATGGCAGCTCTTACTATACTCCTGTTTGCTGACCAATTTAGAAATATTTTCAAATTTTCCACATAAATGTCTTTTAGCAAATCAATCATGCAGAGTTTTCACAGTTAAAATATAAAATTATTTTAGTTTCACAAAGTTAACACATATTTTGCAACTTGTTTTCTGGAAACAAATGGAATAGAGAGAAACAGCTCACTGCACAATACATTTTCCAATCCTTAAAACTGATTTGAAATTTCTAAAACTCTGCCAAAAAGCATACTCACTATACCAACAGAACTAGAACAGTTGTTGAAATTGGGTCAGTTCTGACACATGATGAATATTTAACTTATTTGCAAGGTATCAGTTTTCTTTCACTGGAATCCAATCATTTCTGTTAAAGCAGTATTACAGGTACATATTTTTTTCTTCCTAGGTAATAATCCCTACCATCCTTCTCATTTCTCCCCCATATATGCCCAAATGCTTCTCAGCACCTGTTTGATCTTCAGGAAACCAAGAGTGCACCTGTTACCAGTACATATATTGCTTTGCTTGCCAAGTCTAGTAATTACGAGTCTTCAAAATTTGTCCCTCAGGGACTGAAGAGAGTGTACACTCAACAGGAATATGAGAAAACTGGCTTTGTGTCTGAATTTCAGTGTTTCCCTCAGTGATTGTCCATCACATTTCTTCCTGAAGCTCCCTTTAGGTCTTCCGGATGATCTCTGCAGAATCTTTAACAATGGTATCCATCACCTTGGTCAATCTCTAATCTCCTACCATTTCCATTGCTTTATTCAAACTGGCCTACTACATATTTCATTGGAAACAAGATAAATGACTTCATTTTTTTCCTATTATATAATGATATATTCCTGGGAAGAAAGAAACAATAACATGATCGAAAACTAAATAGTTCAAAAACTATTTTGACTTACAAATACTGTGTATATATATTATGGATAACAATATGTATACCTTTTTAACTTAGGTTGTTACTGAAATTGACTTGCATTTCCCTTGCGAGGTCAGAGAACTAACAGTTATGAATTAGGCTTTAGTAAACAGGGAAGCCCCTGAAACTGTAGAAAATGTCAGAGGTGTGATTATGTTTAAAACAGTTCATGGAAAATGGGACTAAAGCTGTTAATTTTGGTGGAAAAATTTTGAAATCCATTCAAATGAACTGTCGTCAAAAAGTTCATGGAAAATGTATATCATGAAAAAACTATGTAGGGTTTTCATTCTTTTTAGGCACTAAAATAGACTTATTTCTTAATTCCACTTTCTGTGAACTTTCTGAAGTCACTACATATATTTTCCAAGAAAGAATTCAAGGCATTTATGAGATTCTGAAAGGGGCCTGTGAACTTCAGAAGTTTAAGAACTACTGTTCTGAAACATGTTAGGCAAATAGTGAGGGTGAATGATAGTGACGTTATCTGTTACATATATATTTTTAAAAATTCACAGCTAATAAATTAAGATTACCCTGCACTAACCAGTGTGGAAATTACTGTGAAGAAACATGCTAAAAGTAAGGGAAAATCATCCCTTAAGAGGATTCCTTAATCCGTGTCTTTTTCACTGGACAAGATAAGATGTAGGACATATGGTGGAGGCACTTACTTGTTCACCTTGGAGGCCTGGGAGCCCTGGGTATCCTTTGGCGCCCTGCAAGAGGAAAAGGTGAAGATATGCTATGAAAAGTACACTTACAGAAGCCAAGTAAGTAAATGCAGGTTGTCTGTTGCTTCTTATCACAAAAATGGCTTCCCCACCAATATAATTTAATCCTTACTAATCTCTTATTAATCTTTTATTTAATATGAATTTTACTAATATATTAATTCTTATTAATGCCTTATTTTGAGTATTATTTGAATGATTTGTTATTCTTAACTAAAATTATAGCATAAAATTTAATAAAAAAACAGCATCCTTTTATAAAAGGTTCATATCTGAAGCTTTCTGAAAGTTGGTTTATTTCAATATTGCTGAGACAAAATGCCTTCAGCCATAGTCTGCTTGTAATGATTGAAAAACTGAACCATATCCAGGCAGTTTCTCTAATATCATAACACTCCATGAATGAGCTAGCTCAAATGAATGAGGATGCTCATGTGTTCACCCAAAGGTTCTAATAAGCTGTCTTGAGAATTCATAACAAAAAATGTTTTCCAAATAATAGAACCAAAATCACATCATAATCTCTCATCAACACCCAAATTATAAAATCAATACTATCCTTTTTTCTCTAGAAGGATCTTAATCTAGAAGCAAAATGAAGGAAACTTAAAGGCCAGGATGAAAGAAAAAAGGAAGACTTTGGACATTTTGGATATTTGTAATTAACAATCAGTGAATTGACCTATTGTTTATTGGAAGATTGTATACATACAAAACAGAAAGAAAAAGTTCCATTTTTTAGAGCCTCATGAGATTTTAAGAAAAATATAAGGATACCTTAAAAATTTCATGGAGAATGGAATTAAAGGGTAAGTTCATCTTGATGCAAAAAATTTGAAAACTATGTATTTAGGAATCTTCACAAAATCTTGAAAAATATGATTTTGAAAATATGCATGCATGAAATTCAAAAAATTTTGTTCCAAAAGAAACTTATCTTTTAATTCTGTTTTCAATGAACTATTTGAAGAATTCTTGTTTAACTCAAAAGTCAGAAATAAATCATAGTTTATAAATATTAAAATATCCTAATTAATATACTACAAACTGAAGATAAGCTTTCAGGTTTTCAGAATATGCCATATTTATGATGAAATAATCATTTATGATTAGTCACTGAAGTTTCATCAGAAGAGATGAGTTCAGATAAATGGAATAGGGAAAGAAATGATTCCCTGGTAAGACAATGAGAAAATTTGATGAGTTACCTCTTTTAAAAATAAGGCATGGTTTCAGTAACTTTTGAGATATTAAACTTAGATCAACAGTAAACATTTAAATAGAGATCTCTTGGGAAAGTAGGTCCAGGGGCAAGGATTTTTGTATTATTGGTATAGCATATTAGAAACAAGTAACAGATGGTAAAAACTAGAGGGAAAAGGAAAAGCCCATTCCTGGGAGCCCAGCCATTGTATTATGCTATTAGCAAGAGATCAGGAAAGCAACCGTGAGAAAGAAGGGAAGATAGGGAAGAAGGAGACAAATGAACTTCATTGAGCTACTATGTGCCAGACATTATTCCAGTCACTTCCCAACATCTTAGTTAATTCCCAGTAATCCTGTGAAGTAGGTATTACCCTGTCTTTACAGATGAGGAAACTGAGCTCTGAGAAATTAAATAACTTGAACAAAAAATCATGCAGAATCATGTTAGTTTGATAGATTTATCCAGCACTGAGGAACCTACTTTTCTATTTATTTTATATACCTAAAATTGTCTCATACTCAGATACAACCCATCCTGAATGTCATTACTATGTTCAAAATTATTAATGATAGAAAACCAAGATAAATTAACAGGTGATTTACACTTCATCAATCAGCTATTATCAAATGCTATTTACCAAAAGATGCTATTTACCAAAAGCATCTGATGGTGTTTTAACTCAATTACAGTCCAAATTTATATATTGTTTAAGAAAACTGAAAGTTAGCCTAACTTCCAAATATGAGATCTATTGTGCTCAGTTCTCCAAATATTCACACAAGAATACACACATAAAAATAGCCACAAAGCTAAGTTTTTTTCATTCTTTATAATAGGATATTTGAAACATCCTTGGCCTTACAACAGTCACTTTTGGGGATGGAGTAGCAACTTTAGGAGGGGAGAAACCAGACGTTCTCTGGAGAGTGTTAGAAGATGAGAACTAGAAAGCCAGGTTAGGAGGCACATAGGTCAGAGGAATTCTCTGCCATGAGATTACTGCACTTTCCCTTTTTAAGAAAGTGTGTACCTATTCACTTATTTTATTTCTGTGAACCCCTGAGTCTAGCTATATATTTAAATTTCTTTGAGCACTACCTGTTTTTCTGATCATGGCTTCTTTCCTCCTAACCTACACTGAAACAGAATGCAGCTACTTTTAAGTTTACTTTATTCATAGAATTTTATAATAGTGAACTTCATCATTGTACCATAGTATCTTATGCATGTAATATTCTCTTTGAAGGTTGCTTTTTAATTCAGAATTCTGATAAGGTGACAGCATCACACAGTCTAGGTCTGTTCATAACTCACTACTCTGAGGTGGGGCTTGACCCAAAGGATAACAGAAAGTCTGGCTTGTACTCTAATAAGGTCACTTGGAATGAAGACTTTTGCCTAAATAAAGACCATCTGGGCCAACCAAAGTCTCTCTTTTTTTAAAACATTAAGTTTAAATATTAATAACAAGAGAAAAATTAAGGGAGTTAGCATTGGAAAAGATTCACAAAGAAAGGTTAAGAAGAAGAATACAGGCATTGAGATGGTACAACAAAGCCAAAGTACAAGTGAAAACTGAGAACAAGCAGAAATTATGCTGACAAAGGAAGTTGTTCAGAGAAGAAGTAAAATAACAAAAAAGATGGACGCAGCACAGCTAGATTTACTTTGCCATGGACACAGTAAATAAGCAAAAACTCCCTTTTCAAACCAAACTAAGGGAGAGATAAAAGTTTTACTAATGACTTCAAAATTATAGACAGTTTCCATGAGGTGGTCTTCATGTCTGATCTTAAAGTGAGGACATAGCTCTCCTCAGGGGCATCATCTTATCTCACAGAAAGAACGCAGTCAGAACATGCCTGCGACTATAGATTTCTAGCTCAGGCTACCAAGGATTAGGGATGGGACTGAGCACCCTGTTGGCTAACAATAAAGGCTACCTTCATGGTCTACTTTAACAGAAACCATGAGGAAAAGGAGCAAGCCAGGCAGCAGTAGCAATGTAAGGAGAGGGGGCAGGCCAATTAATAAGAGCTTTACACAGTGATTTGCCATAAGGAGACCCAGCACGCCAGTCCACCCAAAATGGCATTGGTTTTCAATGTGGAAAGCCAGGGCTTTGGACAGACAGCAGTCATGAAGAGCCATGTCAGTTCTGCCAGCCAAGGGCTGGGTCACTGGAAACATCTGTCCTGGAGTCGAAGGACTCCCAGGCTAGAGCTGCAGACTGTTGGCTGTAAACTAAAAAGTCCCTAACTCTGCCCAGCTTCCAAAGTAACCACCACTGTGGAGGGGACAGCCTGGGGCCAGTACACTGTAGGCAGAACTGCAAATCTCCTTTTAGTGATGCCTCCTACCTTCTGTTCAGGCCAGCTAGGTAACGGAAGTCAACAGGGTGCCTTCACTTAGGAGGTTCACACCTCCTTTATGGTCTCTTCAGTACCCCACATGAAGAGATGATAGATCTAGACCCAATATATACCTGGCCAGGCCTTCACATCCACCTGGTTATTACTAAGCTCCTCCGGTCTGTTTCTGTTTTCTTCTCAATGGGAAAACTTTCATAGGTCCTCTAATAATGACTTTGTCCTTTGTTTTAGACCCTGAGTATTTAATCTGCTTGTTAGATTCATTTTCTACAGATTTGAAACTGAAATTCTAGATGGCCATGCGCATGAAACCTTGGATGGAAGCAGTTTCTGCAAGCTGGCACTGCTTCTCCCTTGAGAAGCCACCTCCTACAGGAACCCTGTTTTGACTGCCATTCCTTACTCTGTCCATGGCTTTCTGTTTTATCATGAGCAAGCTAGACAGGGCAAGGAAAATTACAAATCAGGTCTTTTGATGAGTTTTGTCCCTGCCCTGTAACTAATGATTGTCAGTTTTTTCTTTTCCAAAATTGTGCTAAAAACCCCACTACCACCAGCCCATTTGGGTTTTGACTCTCTAGGAGCCCCCCTCCTGGCCACTCCACCAGGAGGTCTCTGACATAAATAAATCTTGCTTTTTCTCTCTGAAAACAAAATAGTAGCTAATATAGAGTGTACAAAAAATGTATATGAGTGAAATTGACAGTTTAAAATTGGATTATTGTTATATACCCTTTGTCTATACTCTTGAAGAACAGTGGTTTTTCTACTTACTATTTGTTGAATTATTTACAGGAGGATTAAGCTTGTGATTATGAAGTAAATTGAAAGGATGTAATTGAAAAAAGAAAAGAAAAATAAGAAAGGAAAGAGGAGGGAGGATGAGAGGGAGGGAGGGAAGGTAGGGTTGGATGTATCATATGCTCTTAATCCTATATATATGAAATACATGAAATTGGTTGCCCTTATATAAATAAAAATGAAATTAAAAAACTTCCTAAATAAAAAAATTTTAAATCCACAAATGAATGTTGCTATGATCTGTCGAGTTACTTTGAATGAGTGCTTCTCCCATGTATTCCCTGTTTTCCTTAATGCTGCAGAGAGGACTGAAATAACTCACTCTCTTACTTAATATAGCCTAAGACTCCATTCTTTTCAACAAAGAGTGTAAGTAAAACAATATTGCTTTTTGTTTGTTTTGTCTTTAAACTGCTAATAATAATAAAGAACAGACCTAGTACACAGTGTTCTAGATCCAGTTTTGCCACTAAGTAGCCAAATCATGAGTTCTAAAGTCTTCATTTGTAAAATCATGGCACTCAATTATTGTGAAGTCTCTGTTTGGTGCTGGAATTCTGTGATTATTGGAATCTGTACTTGCTACTTCTTTTTTAAATTTAGTT